TTCTGAGAGCATCCGAGCAAAGGAATGAATGGAAAATCATGATCGCCGATGTCTGTCGCAGATCTGGCACTGGATGATGATGAAAGGTTGGTAATTAGTTTTTCTTCACCTAATCCACCAAGTTCGAGTGGCTCAGAGAAAAAAAATATTTTGAGAGTGTGAAGGGAAGGACAATGTTTTGTAAACACAAAGGTCTGGACGAGACGAGCTGACTGTCGCTAACGTTGTGGGGTCGGTGGGGTCGGCGGCTGACAGGGGACAACGACGTGATCAAACCACTTACTTTTAAAAAAGTCGCCTTCAACTTCAATGAATTCTTCTGTCAAATAATCTGGGATTTTGCGAAAACCAGGAATGTGAGTCAACCTGCTCCATAGCTCAATTCTCGGGTGTGGCAGTGCAGTGGTTACCATCAGTCCTTCGGAAATGTTGAAAAACACACACATGATAACAACCTGGCCACCGTGCCAACAGGGAAAGTCATTCTCACGTTTAGACAACATCACCAAACACATAGACACACCAGGAAATTACTTACTTACTTACTAACTTACTTACTTACTATCTTACTTACTTACTATCCGTCACGCCATCTGGCGTTTAGGGCAGCAACAAAGGATCTCCAGCTCTGTCTGTTTTGGGCAATCTTGGTCAACGTCCCCCACGAATGATCCGAGGACTTCATTTCCGACTCTACTGTGCGTCTCCAGGTCACTTTAGGTCTGCCCCTTTTGCGACGTCCATCGGGTGTCCAGTGGAGGGCAGTCTTCACAACAGAGTCTGTCTCTCTTCTTAGAACATGTCCAATCCGTCTCCATCTTCTCCTTGTTGTTGTGGTGGTCATGTCTGCAGGATACTTTTTCTATTGATTTTTCATCAGTTTCAAATAAATTAAAATATCAACAATTGCCTGTTGTTTTTCCTCTGAGTTCTTGACCAATCGCCCACAACACATGTATGTAACATCTCTGGTAACATTAAACGGTGTAAAGTCCAACCTAATTACATGTATTCACGAGCACCGGTGCGCCCTGAGGCTGTGTCATCTCCCCTGTGTCGTTTACTCTCTGCACCAACCACGGTACAAAAGCAT